CAAAAATGCCAGCGGGGGCTTTGGGAGGACGGGAGGAAGCGCTCCCCCGCGGTCCTCCCAAAGGCTCCATTTTCACACAGCTGATCGGTGGTTCCAAAATGGCCACCCGCTGTGTTGCCTCGCTTTAGAGGCACCGAAAATGGCTGCCCCTATGGAGGATTTTTGCATAAGGTGAGTTTTTAAGCCCATAGGAACGCATTAAATGTGTTTTAATGCATTCCTATGGGCTTTTTTGTTTCACATAGCGACGAATCTGGATAGCGACGATTTTTCCAGAACGGATTATCATCGCTATGTGGGGCACCACTGTAATCAGAATTGATAATAAGTAGGATGTACTCTTACAGCACAGTGGGAGTTGTGAGGTTGCTGCAGAGCTTGGAAGAGTTATTTTTTAAAGATTAAAACCCCTAGAATCCTCCATCCAATGTAGGCATTTGGTGTGTGGGGTATGTCTCTGATTGCCATCTGATCCCAAATCAAACATATTGGCCACAATCCTACTGCTGGCAGAATTCAGATAGTGTAACTTTTGGCAATGAATTGCAGCAAGTTATAATGTCAATGTAGACATTTTGTCTGTTTCATTCAGAGTCACCCAGCTCAGCATTATGCAAGAAATAATGTCTACATTGATCTTGTAACTGCCGCCAATTTGTCACCAAATGTTGCATGGTTTAACTTAACACTGACAATAGGATTTTGGCCAATGTGAACATTCGTCTGACCTCTTTGTCCTACATAATCAGGACATGTAACAGAGTAATGATGATACAATATGATAAAATGAGATTAAATCTACAATCATAAGTACAATGTCTGGAGAGTCAATGCCAATGAATTTGTTCATTTTGGTATATACTTGTTTTTAATGTGCATACAATTACATTGTAAAATGTGAAAGAAAATACTACGTACAGAATGAATTAAAATTATCTTCACACTTCTACAAACTTGTTTCTCAAAGGGGGATCAAAACAAAAGATGTAATAGCTCTTTTATCCAACGTCTTCAATGAGTTTCCAAGGGAAGGAATTTATTTATTTTTAATTGTAAAACAGTTGCCAAAAAATAAAAAGCACCCCCCTCTGTATTTGCCTTTGCTATTCAGTGGGTACCTTGAACATTACCCAGAAGATTTTTTTTAAAAAAAACTGAGATAAAAAAATATTTGTTTTTCTGGCTTGATTAAACCATAATTATGTGTCATCAAGTCAATTCTGACTTATGGCAGCCTTTCAGTAGTTTTGTAGATATAAAGCACTGAGAAGTGATTTGCCAGTTTGTATTGCCAGCAGTGTTTTGGGACTGTCCAGTCTTCCCAAAACTGCACAGGTTACAGGCATGCCACTCTATCAGCCTCACATACTGATTCATTTCCATCAGCAGCTCTCCTTGGAGGAACAGTGAGGATTCAGGCTTCTATAATCAGGTGCTGAGCAAAGTCACTACTGAGCAAAATCACAATTCACATCTCGCAGAATGCAGTTTCCATAGCCAGACTCTGGAAATTATATTCTCAAAACCCTAAACATTTCCCCTCTCTCTTCCAAGAACCCGCCCTAGATCACAGGTAATAGCTGTGATTTCTCTGCTCATCAAACAGTGGCCCCAGGAGGAAAGGCAGGACAGATCAATCTTTATTTATCACCATGTAGATTTCATTAAAGAAGTTTAGCCTTAAGGTTATTAAGATTGTAAATGTCAATAGGTGGAACAAATTATTTCTGAAAGCATTTTTATGGAGACCTGTTTACCCCTCCCCCATATCTGAAGTCAAATATAAATGTATTTATTTTAAATTATCATATCACTTCACCTTCCCACAATTATACTGGCTGTTCAGAGGTCATCTTGAACATGCAGGTGGCCCAGATTCTTAATTTATCTTGGCTCCTTTGCAGAAAACTGGATTTTTCAGCCTTTTGCAGGTTTAGCTTACTGGGAGATGTACTTGTAAGAGGCCTGTGTGATTATAGGCAGAAAGAGGAGTTTTATAAACAAGTATAGGACAGCTGGAGGTGGATTTTGTTTTGTCCGTAGACAAAGGTAAAGAACAACTAGCATCTTTGTGTCTTCTCATTCTACATATAGGCCTGGTGCACAAAGCAAGTTACTTTTATATTGAGCTTTCACAGGTTAACAGTTGTTAATTTTTTTTAGATCGCGATATATGGTAAAAACTTCTGCACGTCAGCAAGGGAAGCTTTCTTTCTGCTTATGAGAAATGTGGTGAGGTAAGAGAGTGTTTGTTTTATAATCTGTAGGACACCTGCCATTAATTGTGCATTGACTCTGCTGCTACTGCAACTGGTTACACAACTAATCAAACATGCCGACTGCCTGGGCGTGATACCACCCCCAAAGACTTTCACAGGCGTAACTTTATGCTATGCTAAATGCAGTAGGATTTCAGCCACAGCTTGCTCACTCTTTCCTACTTAGAGCTTGGAAAAATTAATTTTTGGACAATTCTCAGAACACCTTCACTGCTGTGGACAATGACCATATGAAAAGTATAAATGAAGTGAACATTTAAAAGTTACGATTCAAAAATATAACAATTCCATATGCTGCCTCTACTCCCCTGGTTGAGCATTCATAACTATGTGGATATTCCCTGCATTCAAAGACCTGCTCACCTTATGGCACTAGTTTTCCATTTACAGGAGAATTTGTACTTCACATTCTTAGCTTGCTGAATACATATACATTTATATTCTTAAGTTGTCCTAAACAACAAATTACAAAGTACCAAAAGAGGGTATCAGAATACTCACTATATATAGTGCATGGAACCAGGTGCATGGAATCTTTAAATGTGTTATTCCACCAGGCAAGAAACAAAATTAATCTTTATAAAACTGTGAGTATATGTGCTGTTCTGATTCTTTACAAATGCATTAATTTTGACATAATAGCAATATGCCATATTTTAGATACGAACCAGAAAGTTATGGGACTATCCCTTTTTAAATAATAAACATCTCATTTATCATTCAGATGCTAATTAGGAATTTTGGAAATGATTTTGCATCTAAAACTAGATGCAGCAGCACAGTAAAGCTTTGGGTTATATTGTTCCTCAAAATAAGTTTAGAATGAGTGTTGCTTCTCTTTCCAGAGAGGAAAGCTTCTTTTTCTTCCTGTTTATTCTCTCTCTTGCACAGAGTTGCAGTGCTGGATAAAGTGACAGACTTCTTATTATTCCTGGGGAAAATTCTGGTTGCTGGAGGTGTAGGTAAGTTAGTGGATTCTCTCTATTCAATACTTCAAGCTTGATTGTGGTCAATGCATAATTTTAAAGAGCAGATTTGACTGGGGTGTCTCTACTATGCACCAATATAATTAAGGCTTGCAGCCTTTTTGGAACCTCTGCTCTGCATATGTAAATCATTACAGGAAAACCTCATTATTTCAATGTCTGTCTGGACATTGATTAATCAGATAAATAAAAAGCGATTTAGATGATTTTATTGGCATGAATCTAAGTATAGAACAAGCAAAAGAGTTCATTAATGAATGAATTGTGTAGCATGAGAAGTAAGGGACTTCAGCCTCATCTTTCTCTTGTACCATTATGCAGAGAACACATAGAATGAAGGATTGGGATACTTAACCCAATCCATGCCTGCCGACTCCTCTATTTATTAGGGCTATGCTTCAGATTCAGATGAATCCTGAATTTGTCTGAGTGACTGACTGATTACAGTGATTCAGTATCAAAATGGGGCTCCTCCAAAGTGGGCTGACTTCAAATCTGAACACTCCTGAAGATTTACCGGTATTAGCCATTTTTATACAGAGGAAGATAGACACATGGACAATGTGTCTCCAAAAATTGGTATGTTTATTCCAACATTCTCTGTGCAAAGGAAGTCCCCAGAACAGACAGAAGGGCAAGAGAGGGGGAGTGTAGTTTTGTGACTGGCAAAGCTACACTCTAGCTTCTCATTACAGTGAACAGTTTTGGCAGGATTTGTCAGTCCCAATGCTTTGGGAAAGGTATGTTGAAGTAATATATTACAGGACTAATATAGTGTTCAGTGATTCCTGCTAATACTCTTTCCCAAGAGCAGTCATCATCATCTTAAGACAGTTTTGGAGAAATCTGTTGGACCTGGAAAGATACTTGCTTGGAAAATGGTGGATATTTATGCCCTTTTTGCTTTTTCCATTGTCTATTCTACATTAGAGATGGAGGTGTTTGTATTTGTATGCGACTACCAATACCCCCACACAGCTGGACGTAACGAGGGTCCACTCATGCATCTGCCAGCTCCACGTTCCCTTCCAGTCGCTCTGGAGCGCGTGGTCAGCTATCCACTTGTCAGCCTGGTGGGAGGACTCATCTTCCCTCCTTCTGCCAGGAGTAGATAGGCGACCGATAGCTCTGGACTGATTGGAAGGGAGAGTGGAGCTGGAGTCAGTGGCAGACGTGTGAGTGGACAGTCTGGCCCCAGGATTCAGCTGTGTGGAGGTATTCTTATATGAATACAAATACTACTCCATCTCTATTCTACATGCACCATTACCTTGTCCTATCGGACATTTAGCGTCTTGAGTGCCAATTGAGTAGAAAACAAATCTACCAGTATCATGGCAAATTCAGGGGGCAGTGTGATACTAACCCTTGCCCTAAATATGTGCTTGAAAATATTGTATATATAAAAAAGGAATGTGTACATCTCTGAGAGGATTTATCACAAGAAGCAAAGCTGATGGAAAACATCTGGGTATAAATCAAAGAGGGAAACAACATTTACATGACTCCAGGGGTCTGGTACAGACCTCCAAACCAGACTGAACACTTAAATCATGGCCATCCAGGCCATGGTGGGTAGCTCTGTGAGTTAAGTATCTGGTTGTGAAGCCAGGGGTTGGGAGTTCGATTCCCCACTGTGCCTCCCTGATAGGGGCTGCATTCGATGATCTATAGGGTCCCTTCCAGCTCTGCAATTCTAATGATAATGATGATCTTAAATCAAATTACCAAAATTTCAAAGAAGAGAGATGTTGTATTAATTGGAAATTTCACTTCATATATCTCTGACTTTTCAAGAGTGCGCATTCCAAAAACATTCTTTTCCTTGGGCCATACCCAAATAGGTCTCACCAATCATTCCTCATCCTCCTTCAGGGTTTTGTTCTGGGCCCAGTGTTGTTCAACATTATTATTCAAAGTATAAGAAAAGAAATGTCAACATACAATTCGGAAGAACATCTTGACTGTGAGGTCTGTTTAACCGTGCAGTGGACGAGCTTACAAAGTGGTGGACTCTCCTTCAGTGATGCTCTTAAAACAAAGCTTCAATGGCCTGTTATCAGATTTAGCTGTTTTGTGCTTTGGCAGCATTAGATGATGACCCTTAGGGTCACTTTTAGCTTTGTACTTCTGTGGTTCTATGATCATCGTGTCCAACTCCCTGCTAAAATAGGAAAGGAAACAAACAATGAACTGGTAGAATTGATTAATGTTTTCCTTGTGCTTAAAAACAAATTCTCAGGGATAATAAATTTACATGGCTTTCTGTTCCTACTTAGCAAAAATGTTATCATGAATTAATATTTCAGATAAATGGGAATAGTTAAATTGCTCTGGAGGAGATGTATGAGATGAGTTTGAGTTTTTAAAACCACATTTATCTTCCTAAACCCCACATTGGACTTTACTGGCCAGAATCCTATTAGTGTTTGTGTAAGGTTTATGTAACTTGCCACAGCTAACTGACAACATGTTAGGATGAATTTCAGTTGTACAGTTGGACACATGACAAGGCATGTGATCAAGATGCACCCCCTCATATAAATAAGGTGCAGTCAGACATGGCAAATTACACGAACCATACACAAACACCAGGCAGATTCTGGCCATGAACTTTTCTATTCATATAAAATAGTGAGATTCATAACATAATGTAATTGATCTTAATGTAATATGTTTGACTGGTTGCATGAATCTCTCACACAACTGTATCCAAAGTCAGTCATTGCAATGCAAATAATGGGAGCAGTTCGTGTCAGAGTTTCTGTGTCTGAAAATACATAAATGTTTCAAATGAATGACAGGAGTACAAAAATACCTTGGAACTAACTGGTTGCATAAATCATTCATCTGTCATGTTTGCAACATATATTTCCAGGCTTAGAAGTGTTTTGTTTAAGTTATCTTTTTTTTTAAAATTCCAGAAGAGATGAATGTCTTGAAAATACTGCCACGTCTGCCTGGTAACAATGTCTTTCCTCTTGTAGGTGTCCTAGCCTTTTTCTTCTTCACACATAGGATACCAGTACTCACACAAGAGGCACCATCACTGAATTATTACTGGGTCCCACTCTTGGTAAGGGGATTATTGATGCTTATAGAATTCAGTTTTGCAGACACTGTGCCAGCCCTCAGCACCAGGGCTAGTTAATGCCAGTGTTCCTTAGTAATGAAGCCTTTTTTCCCCTCCCTATTTCACTACCCTGAAATGTTTATCAAGCAACAGTGGCTGAAGCTGCCAGAGCATCCACCACCTTAATTTTCCCCCTAATGCTACTAGGTCAAGTTTGGGTTCAGAGTATAGATGGGCACAGACTGGGAAAATGGTGGTTCATGATGGTTCATGGTTTTCGCTATTCATGAACCACAAACGTTCATGGACATTCCAATGAAACAAGCTATTTCATGGTTTGTGTGATTTGGGACTTCATGAGGTGGCTGGGGATGAAACAAAAAGGGGAACGGACTAGTTAGCTAAGTGTCCTCTTCTCTGAGTTGCCCACGGTGAGGCTGCTATAACCAGCTACTACCAGAGAGTGGGCTTGGAGCTCCATGGTTGGATGCCTGACTGGGTAATCAATCATACACAAAGTTTTCTCTAGGTCAACCTCAGCATTGCCTAGGAAATTGATTGAGTGGTGCCAGGCTGTCTGGTCTGCACAAAATTTGAAGCCTATGAATTGCCATTGGCAATAATCGTTTGCCATTTCATCTCATTCTGGGCAGGCATGGTTCCACGAAATGAACTCAAATTGTGGCTTGTTTGTTTTGCTTTGTGGTTTGTTTTGTGCCCAGCTCTAGTTCAGAGGCATTCTGGGGAAATTAAAGTGGCAGCTGAGGAAGTTGTTTCACTGGCCATTCTTTTCCCATTAGTGCTGGACACATATATATGTGTGTGTGTGTGTTCCAGCTGCATCTGCCAGTGGAGCTTGCTACCCATGTTTGAATTCCCTTGTTGTGGAGGCATCAGGTCAATATACAGGGGAAGGGTGTTTTTGTTTCCTTTTAGGTAAAGTTATTTTAGAAGTTATTTCCATTTGGAAAAGTTATTTGCTGCATCTTTAAAGTAAGACAGTTTGACCCGAAGAAGAGATGAATAGTCGGGATGATGTAGATATTACTGATAATATATAGTGATTACTGAAGATGGAAATGGATGTATTTGTCAGTGAAGAAGACAAGTAAGACGAGACCACAAAGCCTTGGAGGGAGAGCTGAGAGGTACTCTTAGTTTAAAGTAAATAATGCTACATGTCTGCCTTCCCCAACTCAGCACCCTCTAGAGGTGTGGAACTACAGTGCCTGTCATTCCTGGCTAGAGATGATAAGATATGTAGTCCAACACTCCTGGTTGGGGAAGGCCACTATGTAATGCCTGTATCATAAGGTATAATAACTAGCACATATTTTTCCCCTTTTTTCCAGACTGTAATTATAGGCTCTTACCTAGTTGCACATGGGTTCTTCAGTGTCTATGCAATGTGTGTTGACACACTTTTCCTCTGCTTTTGTAAGTAATTCACTCTTTGTTTCCTTTCCTTCTTGGATAAAGTTCAGATAAAGTCCACCAGCTCCACTTCCTAACAGAATTCATGAGATATGTAGTAGGGAAGCATTGCTGCTCCTCATATGCAATTTGCTGCATTTTAATCATCTTTGCACAGGAGAACATGAAGCACATTCACATTAGATGGCTTCATTAGTTCAGTGAGTGAAATGGAACAGCTCCTCACTGGAATAGTCAGTCTTTCTGGAATAACTGTTCTATGATAATTACTAACAGACTGCTTTTGGATGCTTCACAGCTTGATCATGTCCGGTGGCATTTCACTAAGATGATTGCTATGCGTCCCTCTTAATAACACAGCCTTGCCATATCAGTAGCCACAGCAATGTTGGATCAGTTTAAATATTTTAATATCCACAGCTTGTATCCTTTACCAGCACCTTAAAAGAGATCTGTATATACTCATAAGGGAAACATGTATCTGGCCTTGATTCAGAGCAACTTTTTGAAAATTAGATGTAACCAAAAAATAATAATAAAAAAATCAAAATGTAAAAATGGCCCAGAATCCTCTTAAATATCTTCCCAAAAGCAAAATGTTAGAAGTGATGTGTAAATATTACTCATTACACTGAATATTTAATAATATCACTAGTCATTGTGTTACTTAATAAGCAGAGCATCATTACACCCCTTGCTGTCTCCTAATGTTGTCACTTCTACTTTCGTACTTCCAAGTTCTGCCTTGTTCACATGTTAATCAATGGGTTTAATTTGAGCAAGGGTGTACAATGGCATAAAGTGGCATCATAGAAGGAAGAATATCATAGAGAAGAGGTCTCTCAGTTCTCGCTAGTTTTTGTGGCTATACATTGCATTCAGTATGCTTCTGAATACAATTGCTGGGGAATGTAAACAGGACAGTGCTGTAGCTCTCATGTCCTGCTTTTGGGGTCCTCTCCCTTTGATCATGGTGTAAAGAGAGTGCTAAACTGGACAGGCCATTGGTCTGATCCAATGCAGGCTTTTTTGTAATCTTATGAAAGTACCTTTGAAGGTATGTAGACATAGCTGTTACTCACCCTACAAAATTCTAAGATTCAAAATGTTATTGAAGGAAGTTAAAACTTACTTTTAAAATCCATTTATCCTTTCAGTGTCTGCTCACAGTTAAATTTTCATTTTTCATCAGTATGGGTTTCCACTAGATTTTTCCCTTCCACTTGCTAAAGTTAGGCAACATGAACAAAGGAGAAGCTTCAGCCACCTTGTAGTTTTAAGAAGTTGTTTGTGTCTATATCTAAAACCTTCCTGTTGTAGTTATTAGTGCATGCCAGCTTTTTTTCTGCTTTAGCGTATGAAAGTGGTCTTATGGAAGGTCCAACAAATGTCCAAATTGCAACTTATTGTCTCCTTTGGTTGGGGTAAAGGTTGAAAAAGAAGATGGTGAATTAAAATCTTGGCACATGTTCTTAATATTGATTGGCTGGCTCAGATTGCACAGAAAAAGGCAACACTTAGCTCATTGGAGTTCATGTCTATTGGTTCTTGTCATCACTGAAACAAGTGCATTGTCAGTAGTCACATTCTAGAACGGTGGTTCCAAACCTTGGGTCCCCAGGTGTTCTTGGACTGCAGCTTCCGCAAGTCCTCCCAGAAAGCACAGTGAGTGGTGAAGGCTTCTAGGAGTTTTAGTCCAAGAACATTTGGAGACCCAAGGTTGCGAATCACTGTCTAGAATTAAGATTCAGGAAGATTCAGGGCCTTTCCTCTATTTTCAACTAAGCAGGGATGGAGATCAACGTTGATGCTGCTTCCATTAGATTATATACATTGACATTTTGTATCCATTCATAAATTGTATTTGAAACAAAGGAGCATGTTGTGTACTGATAAATATCTTTTATAAAGCAAGCTCTCAGGATCTTTGTTCATCATTTTTCAGAGAACAAAGAATCTGTTCAATTTAGTGAAACCTGTTTGCTTGCTTGTTATTCCAACTTGTATACTAGCCCATTAATGCGACCATCGTCCGGGCAGGTCACAACATATCAAATCACATTAAAATCAACAATACAAAATTTCAATACACATTAATACCATAAATTTAAAAAACCTCTGTCACTAGCTTTAAAAAAAAACCCTGTGCATTTAAATAAAATTACACAAATCTAAAACTAATTTTGAGATCTCAGTGGTTAAAAGCACAAACAAAAGGCTGCTTTTAAATAATTCTGTTTTCAGTAATTTCCTAAAAACTAAGAGGGATGGTATCTGACCTTCTCTGCCAACTAAGGTCTTCTAGAAGAAGAGCCAAAAAAAGGAGGGGGGGAGTGAGGCAGGAGCCAAGTGATGTCATATCGAAACATCCTCTGGGAGACATAGCCACTGTGCTGCCAAAACGTTAGGCCAAGGTGTGGGCTGTAATTTCTGACATCTCTTGGCTGGGAGAAATTTGGATTCAGCACCACTTCATCTGGGTTACCATCAACTCAGCTGGCCCCCAGCCTGTTTTCCTATCTGGGATTCTACTTGAAATCAGGAAAGTTTGAAAGAGAAATCAGAACCATTTTTTGTGTTAATGGAGTTGTATGAAAACTCCAGTTTAATACTGAAAATAAACTGCTGGCATGGGCATACAACCACAGGTATTGTGTTCTGCAGTTCTGTCTACCACCTGTGTCCCCCCCCCAAAAAAAAGAAATAAAAGTTTCATTTTACACCCTGAGTCCATCTAGCAAATTTCAGGATTCTAAAGAAAATCCAAGTAGATTCTATAAACCTAAAATTTTCCCACTCCATTTTAACCGATAGCTGTTTAAATTCCAAAGCTACTTGCACATAAAAACAATTGCCTTGTTTTCCTACAACGATTTCCTTTACTGTGTGATAATAATGGAGCAAAGTAAGGTAAAGAAGGTGAAATAAATATTTTAGTAATTGAACTCTCAAGAATAATAGACATTTATATATTACTGATTTAGTGAAAATCCCACCTCATAATTAGACGTTAAAAGTGTAGTTGAAACTTCAATGTTAAATTATAACCCAATATATATGATATGCAGTGTAACAGAGAAGAATTTCTGGAGAATGAGAATTAATTGTGAAATGTCTTCCTTTACTGAAGTGAAGCTCCTCATTCATCTGGCCATTGAATGAGGCAGATGCAGGCTGTGTAGGACTGGCAGTTTAAAAGTGGATTTATGATTACAGTTAAACATGATGTACAAGGCCAAAGTAGACGTTTATGAGATATATACTGTAGTGTGCAGCTTCTTTTTCCTTGGTAAATATGCAAAATCAGAATTGATGGTTTTGGATTGCACAACTTGTGGATTACACAACTTGTGTTGATCCTTCAGGTATACCTCAGCCATATGGATTGATAGTGACCAGCACATGTAGAAGAACAGTCCCTGGTAGTTACAACCATCTGTATGTAGCCTTAGAAGTTAGCAGGACCACCATGGAGATTTTAGTCCTATCCATTTTTTTCATGCCAATCTAAAATTTAACAATAATTTAAACTACAAATGTGCTGTATTAAATTCCATGTTTTATCTTCCAAACTCAAATTGAATTAATATTCACTCCTGTTTTCAAGACCATCAAATTTGCTACAATGGAATAATGCACGAGCTGTAGATCAGTGTAATGTTCCTCCGGTTACACTTTCTGGGCAAAGGCTATTAAGGGATATCTTCCATGCAGGTCTCCTTCAAATGAATGAGATTAGTGTCCTTGTAAAGATTTCATTCATGGCCATGTAGTCTATTTGAGAAGCCTGAATGCAGCTTCCCCTAACTTGACGCCCTACAGATGTTTTGGGAGGCAGCTTTCAGCATTTGTAACCCATAGCCACACTCATGAGGGTTTACGCAAATTGTAGTCCAGATATCTCGATACTAGTTTGAGAGGGCCTCCTTTATGTATACAAATCTTTCATTTCTTTGAGCATCATTTCCAGATATCAGCATAGTCTGACCTCTTGTGGCAAAAATGAAAAATAGTCCAGGAACGAAGCAGAAATAATGCTACTAGCTTGCATGAAGCACAATACTGTACTGGTTCTTCAGGATCGCAGAAGAGTCATTGCTATGTCCAGATGATCAAGATGCTAAATTGAGAATTTCAGTTTTGTAACCTTTGATACTAAACATTACATGATCATTCCACAGAGCCAATTTGGTGAATAAAGTGTTAAATGAGGACATGGGAGACCTAAGTTCAAATGTCTGCTCATATATAGAAACTGACTAGGGGTTGCAATTATAAACTACACCTTAAACATCTGCACATACCTTGAAAACCCTTTTAGGGTCTCCATAAGTCAGAAACAAATTGACAGCACATAAGAGCAGCAATCACTTAATATGTTACATGTGCAGAAGTGTGGATCACCATTTGTCTCCATAGTAGTTTGGCAATGGCCTATCTTATATTGATCAGGAAGGATGGACATTTGTATCTTTGTGGCACCCTGCAATGACACAACCCTAAAGCTCGGCTCTATTGTAACAGTTTTTCTGATATGGATTCCTTTCCTCTTTCTGAATCTCTCTCCTTTGTTTTAATTTGGTTTGTCTGCGTGGCTGCTTGCTGCTTTGACACCCTTTGGCCACTTCATACTCAGGCGAAGACTTGGAAAGGAACGATGGATCTACAGCAAAACCCTACTACATGTCAGCTAGTCTGCACCGAATTCTGGGGAAGAAGGAACTAAGCCCTAAAAAGCTAATGGGATGATGCTTAAAATATTGTGAAAGTGATAAGAGGGGATGTCATTTTTAAGAGGGTTTGGGGGAAAATCAGGCAAGAAACATATAATTTAGATTTTAAAAATCCTTAAAGTATAAATGATGCTTCTGGCTAATGAATTATTGGTGTTTGCTTTGTACTATCTAATAATGAGCAAATGGACATTTGAAATAAAGTCTTTTTAACAGCTGTGAAAAAAAGGCCACATCATAGTTTTTATAGAGTGCCTATGGAAAAGTGTAAATGTTAAGCTTTTTTTATCTTTAGCTCTTAGTGTTTTAATAACTTTTTTAACCTGAGATTTTGCTGTTTGAAATGACAGACATTTTGATAACCTTTTTATAGGTGTATATTTGTAAAGGATATTCAGGCAATTTTTGAAAGCACTACAGTGTATCCTAATTAGCCATAAAGAGATCAAAACTACAGATAACCAGCAGGTGGTCCTAAATTTGTAATTATGGTGCTATGGCTGTATTTTTACTGTACATGCTGTTTGACAGCTACTTCAACTGTGATTAAAACATATTAATGGTTCCCTAAGAAGAAGGGCAAATGACTATGTCAGTCACTTCCACGACAAATATTATGAGCAAAGAATAAAGAGATTAGTATCATACTGATTTGGCTCAGAGGAGGCAGAATGAAAGATTGTCAGTTGTCTAAATTGCTTATAACAGAGGCATCTTATTAACAATCAACCTTTTAGGGGGGAAAAGTGCTTAAGAGTGGGGAATCTAGGCTAGGCAAGAGTCCCTTTCTCTTTTCTATCTGATGTATTATGAATTTGTGGTGTAACTGCAACATGTTATTAGTGTCATAATTTTGTTATGTAAAGGTTTTAGATCTGTCTCTGTTCAAAGAAGCAAAGCAAACCTAGTGTTGGTTTTATTTTGATTTGGGGCTGTTGGTTGCCCTGCCTCTCAGCTCTGTGGGAAAAGTCCTTCAAGAGTGTGTTACCTCACTTCTGGCACTTTCCCTCAAAGGCTTTACAGCCCTCTTCTTTGCTGCTGTTATAGACAGCGGCAGAATCAGATACGTGAGGCTGAGGTTGCCTGTGCATCTCTCCTCATGGAGACATGGGTGCTTCGTATTTGTATCCAGGGGATACAAATATGAAGTGCATCACCACAGGTGACCCACTCGTCTTCCTCCATCCCCGCTGGGGTTGTCGGCTGTAGAGAGAGTTGGGGAAGTGCCAGCAGGACTACTGCCACAATTGGCACGACAATGATGCTGACAGATGTGTGTGTTGCGCAGAGCCCAGTGAGTTGACAAGGTTGGTTCTGGAGGCCACCACAGACCGTATTTGTATCCCCTGGATACAAATACGAAGTACCCATGTTTACTCCTAAATGTTCATTGAAACATCTAATCATTTTTCAGGGAGAGCAGAGAAATAGATACACAATATGAATGATTCTGACCAATTACTAGCTGAAACAAAAAGAACTCCCAGTGAAAAAATACCGAGCAATTAATATCAAAATGCAGCTTTCCACATAATGCAGCAGTACCATTTTTTTAATTTAAACATTCAGAGTTCTGTAGAATTAAATGTCCAGAAAGCAAAAGCCTGTGAACACAACTGTTGTTCCACAAATGTTCCAAAGAGAAAGTGCTACCTGTGAAATAAAACCAAGTGTTACACCCTTCAGTAGAGTCAGGAATCCTCCTTTTTCCTGCTGCAGACCCTCTATGTCATTGCAAATCTGGTTCAGAGGGTTTCCTGCTTTCTGGAGCAGGTTTTCAGGGCATGTAGGAGAGAATAGCAACAGGGGAGGGAGATTCCCCCACCTTCTACCAGTGGAAATTTCCCATTTGATAGTGGCCTTTGTAAGAACTGAAAATAAAAGAGGGCAGCATTCTGACAGGTAAGCGCTTTGTAGTGGAAGTTGAATGAGGAGCAACGTCCTAACAAAATGGAATAAATAACACAATCCCTGAAATGTTGATGCCCGTTGGCTATGGGATTATTCAGATGCACTTTATTCCACAATATTGTTAAAATAACTGAAGCTTCTGTTAAACTGTAAGCAAATAATTCTGGCTGTTCTTCTTTTCCTGGATCGTGAGAGGCTTTTGAGAGGGTGTTGTTTTTTAAGTTCAATAGAGCCTGAGTTCCTTAACACGGTAGTGTTCCTTTAGTAAGACTGTATGAACCCCTCACAGCTATTTCCTCTCCGTGCCATAAAGGAGCCCTTGTGTGGGATCTGGCCCTAAAATAAAGGAAGAGCTGAACACTACTGTCGAGCAGAGATTATTAGTGCCTAAAGATTTGGGTTGCTTTCTTTTTTTAAAGCCTTCTATGCAATCTTAAGTATATTTGCCTGGAAATCATTTCTGTGGGATAAGTGAGGCTTATTTCCAGTTGAATGTATTTTGGATTGGGGTGCTTAAATCAGTGTTACAACCCAGGAGAGCTAAAGTCTGAAATAAATTATTGACTGTGCACTGAACTAAGCACATATTTCTAGGAGCAATGTACTTTCTCACCAAATGAATGCTGTCCTAGGAAGGGATCCAGACATTTGTTCACTGCTTGGGGGAGTGGTGGTATTTTTCCCAAGAATTCCAAGAACAGCATGAGAGGTGGTGCAGGGGTGAAAGTCACTTCTCCCTTTCAACCAGTGGTTAGTTGTGTTGAATCCCTGTTGCTTTTGGAAACAGGAAAGGCCCTTCTATTTGAAGAAGGATTGGGGACTGCAGATCTAACTCGTGGCATTACTAAGGTTCAGGCAGGATCAGAACAGTAGGCCCAAAAACTTACTATGTAGTTAAATGGATTATACACACATGCAAAAATAGGCTTATTGATAATTGTTATGCTATAGATACTAACCATTGCTGTCTCAAAGTCAGCTGCAGTTAAAAGTAACTAGTCATGACAACCAGATGGTAGCCCAAGCAGCAGATGTGCAGTGCCATCAAAAGACACATCCGGCCACCTCAAGAGGGCTCAGTGGAACACTGTTAAGCAGATAAAGGGGAGCATCCCATTGACACTGCCTCCAGGAGACATCTTGCATATGTCCATCTCAGGGCAAAAGGATTCATGTTCAAATGCATGGAATGAAAATCAATCGTGTTTTTCTATTGAGCCCTTACATGAACTTAGAATTGATGTGGAAGATTGTGGGGCCCTTAAAGGCAGATTTGGTGAGGGGGATGGGACTCCAGCAGAGAGGAGGAAGAAAGTCCTGTTGCATAAAGAGCCAACCATAATACCTGTGATGTTGGTTTGCACCCAAGGCCGATTTGGTGAGGGGGATGGGACTCCAGCAGGGAGGAGGAAGAAATTCCTGTTGCATAAAGAGCCAACCATAATATCCTGTGATGTTGGTTTGCACCCGAGGCTATTCAGGCATTATTCTATTCAGTGTTGTTAACACTGGGATATCTGTTCCCTGTAGCTTACATGGAAACAAGAACCGCTCCTTTGCTGCTGTGCAGCATTGTGCTCGCACAGAAAGCAACTATGGAGGGAGCACAGTCTAGGTGTTTCAGTCTGAGCACATTAATGATGCTGCATGGAGTGGCTAGGTCATCAGGGTGAGATGAACTTTGCTGTGGTCTCCATGTGAAATCCTGCACATTTTTGAATCAACAAATTTAAGATCTTAATATTTAATATGCCAACATTTGTGCCAGCAGTATATCCCAAGATATGAAACGATGCCATGCTGGCAGTGCAGTAACCCATACCTGCACAAGTGTAGAGTGTCATTGGCAAGTGTCCTTTGGGGGAACCTTCTAAAGCCACTTTGTTGATGGAGAAACTGCGAAAACTGTGAAAATGCAAAGCAATAGCACTGAAATTTGGCGGTCCTTCATTCCTCTTAAATTATTTTGGAGAATAAATCTGGTAAAATTCCTGAATATCTTTCTCAGAAATGAATGAGCATTAATTAATGTACAAACTAGCTTAATAGTTTATTTTTTGAAATGCAAATACTTTTGGACTTGATGTGTTCCTCGATTGTTGGGCCAAACCCTGCTGTTTATTATAATGTCAGTTTTATGCATACCATGCTTTAACATAAAGCTAAAGTTTGACTAAAATGCACTTCTTTGCTGTGGAGAAGTACTGGACAAATCATTTCATTATGAGATGATAAATTTTAAATAGGCTTTGATCCTGCACTCATTCTATTCAATGACAAGGTAAATGTCTTCTTGATTGAACTGGTGCAGCATCTGGCCCATATAATGAGAAAGGGCTGATTATATTATTGCGCCGGTGTTTACATTGTAATAAATGCCAAAACATCCAGTATTTATTTAATATATACTGAGGCTTTTGCTGTTGTGCACAAAAGGGCCAGCAGGTGGCAGTATTGCTTTCATATTGCATTGGTTTGATCGTTTGCTTTCTGCCATTCTTCCTCCTAGTGGAAGATTTAGAAAGTCACAATGGCTCTACTGCAAGACCTTATTACATGAGTAAATCTCTGTTGAAGATTCTGAACAAGCAGAACATGCAAACCAAGAGACAATAGAAAATGCCCACTGTCCTAACCATACAATCTTGTTTCATTCAATGCATTGTTTCTTCAATACATTGTTGACTGTCAGCTTTTATTTGTGCATGTTTTATACCAAAGCTACTGTACATGTGAAGCCATCAAAGTTTGTAGTAACATTATTTTTAAAATTTCGGCAGAAACAAAATCCATAGGAGCATTTTTATACAGAGATTTTTTTTCTTCTCCTTTTCATTTTGCCTTTAATATCTTGTGGCTTGGATGTTTGGGAGTGAAAGAATATTAAAATGTTGGCTGCCTTTTTAAAAGAAAAAAGAAAATATGTGAAATGTTTTCCTGTTGCAGATTTTCCTCTAGGTAAATAAACAGGTTTCAGACAACACAACGTTAAGATTTTTCAACAAAGTCTGTAAATGTCCCTTTCAGTATAGAATAGAATATATAAATGTCTCTTGATTGCATTTAATGTCTTGTCAGTTTCCTAGCTGTACAGCTGTGTGCTCCATGACAAAGTGCCTTACTGGCTATTGGTCTTGATTAGCTTGTGTTTTGAAGTTTACAAGTAGCATATGAACCATAAAGCCGCCATTGGTTGGCATGATCGGCAAAGCTCTCTTTTTGTTTACTTCAAAGGTATGGGTACAAAATTAATTATTTGACCTTGTGTGAAATATCTGAAGTTGTCTATGTTTTGCCATGACCTACAATATCCAAAAAGTTTGTTGTGATCAACATTTTGCTCCCCCCTCCCAACAAAAAAAGGTAGTAGAGATAGACATTTCTAAAGTAGTGCAACAGTGTGTTGTGCTTAGCTTTATATCTAATTTATGCTGCAAGAAACTCTTAATCAGCTTTTGTTGACCATCTATTTCAAAACCTAATGCAATCCACATGTAAGAAAGATATGCAAAAAGCTGATCAGCAAAGTAATTTTTTTTTCAGGTACTTTGTTAGACTTCCTCAAATAGACGAGTTGGAAGTAGGGTTGCCAACTTCTCTGCCGTCCTTTAGCTGTGCTGTTTTAACTGTGGTTCGCTGTAATTAGCAGGAGATAACATTGGCCAAAAAAAAACCATTTTGCGCAATTTTACACAGCAGAAGCTGATGGCATCCTCAGATTGCACCATTAAAAATATTTTAAATTAATTAAATACTTTCTATACACTTGTTTTAGGTTCTGGGACTTCCTGTGGCTCCTCATTGCTCTGTGGAAGCCTTTGGGAGGTGCAGGGGGGGATTTTACTGACCAAAAATAATCACCAGTGGTCCTTATCCTACCCATGGTGATCAGGCTGCATTTTCACTGGGGTGCCTCAGAGACTAAAAGGAGGGGGATAGGAAGTGGCTAACTATTTTAAAGTGACTTTTAGCTGTGTGAGCTGATGTCATCATCAAGTCCCACCCTGTAAAGTTATGTGAACAGAATTTGGGCCAACGTTTATCTTTGCGCTGTGAAAACGTCCTCCTACGCAGCCTTGCACATCCAGCTGTTGGTAAAGCACAACTGCAGGGGTCAGCTGGAACATTGGCAACCTTTACAGGCAGACTGCTATGTAGACGTACTGTAAGGCTGTTCCATCAGCAATCATACGCCTGGAGTTAAAGGGAAAGAAACATTATTTCTTTTTGGCCTTGTAAATGTTTGCAGAATATTTATTTATATTCTGCTTCTGTAGGTTGTTGAGACCATTCTGCAGTTACAGGAATGAATGTTGTATTTGAATGCCAATGAAGCCCTGATAGTGCTGACTCCTAAACACAGGAGGTCTGTGCATCCAGTTTGGTCATGAAATTCACCTTTGCTTGAATCACTCATTGTAGCTGCACATAGTAACAGTGGTGGTGCATATACACTCCTATCAGGAGTTAACAATAACAATAGCGGCTACATGGTGAAAGAGTAGTTGTGAACTGAAAGGGCTAGTATGGACAATAGTGACTGTTTTCAAATTCTCCAAATTAGTTTCCAGCTATATACTGTACTATTTTGGTTAGGAAAGGGGAACAAGATTTACACTCCAGCCCTTAACCCATGTTGTGAGTCCCATTGATTTTCATGATCAGAGATTTAAGACAAGAAGATAAGTTACTGTACAATAAGTTACTTCTTAGAGAATCACATGCCCCCCCCAAAAAAACTGGGGATTCTGCAAATTATAGTCCAAAAATAAAATTTTCAAGTTTTGGTTTGATTAAATTCTAGATTTATTAAAATTGGGTGAATGTTTGTTGGGATGAGGATTTAATTTTTAGATCCATCTTTTGGGGACTTGCACCATCACATCCTGGTAAGCAAGTCAGAGAAGCCTGGACAACCCATTTTTGTTAAATCTATACACAATTTACCCCTTGCTACTTAAAATAGGGGAAAACATGGGAACAAGGAGCTGCATTCTATCTAGTGTAGAGTATTGCTTTGTTAACACATTTGCAACAGATCCTTACTTTTTAAAGACTCTTCTTAAGATACGTTATTTTAGGAAATGGCTTTTAATTTTCTAACATTTGATCAAGATTATTGCTTCCCTTGTAAAACATTGGTTATTTGCATTTGCAGAAATAAAACTAAGAAATAACACCTCCTTCAGTTTTGGAACTGTATAATTAATCATACTAATAGTGATGGTTCATGCACTCTATTCATTTAAAGAGAGAGAGAGAGTCAGAGACAGACAGAGAGAGAGAGTCCATCAGCATTTCAAATATGTATTCATAAATTGCATGGTGGCAAATGAGAGACCTTGTCAGTTTCCCCTATGATTGCATTTTGACTAAAAATGTGACTATGGACTGTTTTTTTTTGGGGGGGAGGGGGTTGTACCCAAACCAAAATTAACATGAGCATATGGCCGCCTGAGCTCTAAACCTTTTTTTGCTTCTGCTGTGCAGAAATATTAGGAACATATTGTTGAAAATATCTTTTCACAACTAAAATGTTTAATATTTAACAAGTTTGTTGTTACTTATTGTTTTACAGTTCTTGGGGTTTGTTCTAATAAAGTTTTAGATACAAAACAGTTCTTTTCTCTCTTTATTCCTTTTTATTCGTCTTTGTGGTGCAGTGATTAAACTGCAATACTGCAGGTGGAACCCTGCTCGTGACCTGGGTTCAATCCTAGGGAGCTGGGTCAAGGTTCAATTAACCTTCCTTCCTTCCGAGGTTCAGCTGTCTTGGGAGGGATGCAGTGTATAGCCTGCATACTTAAATTGTAAACCACCCAGAGTACTTTTAAGTATTATGTGGCAGTATAGAAGCAGCACACTTTAGGTGGGAGGTGTGTTCTTAGAAGAAAGAGTTTGTCTTGTGTTACTTCTATGCCCGTCCCTGTTTTTACCACTTCACTGATGTGTCTACTTTATTTGTTTGATGAATCTGCTGCCAGAAACCATATTCTGGCCGGTGTGCTCAGGCTGCAGTTATAGACCAAGGTGGGCAACCAGTCCTCCTCAGCCTCTTCTCTGGCCATAAGGCTAATTTTAAAACTCTTATGGAAGCAGTTGGCTCAGATCTCTGCAGGAACAACCTGTCCATTCCTCAGCAGCTGATTATATGAGGAAGAAGAGAGACTGGACAGGGTGGCAGAAAAAGAGAAAGGGAATGGAGTCGCAAATAGAGTACATCAGAATGCAGAAAAAGAAGAGGATGACATAAAGAGTGTAGGGAAACAGGTGGTTCAACTACTTTGGACTCTGATCTTGTACACAAACAGGCAGGGTGCTGTCGCACTAGGAGGCAAAATAACTAATACAGTAGTCTTATCATAGGGCTTGCTTTTGCCCCAATACAGCTTTTGGGAGCCCCATGATTTGGGAGGCAGCATTTAATAGTAAAAAAATCTCCACCAGATCACTGTCACCAAGATTGGAACTGCCAGTGTGGTCCAGTGCTGATTTTTTTTAAGCTACTGGCCCCATCAACTGTGGCAGTAGGGAGGTTCAGAAAGTAACAGGAGGGAGAATATGAAACTTTTCATGAGTACATAAAATGTTTCCAGCACCCAATCTGGGTTATGCTCATGAGCTATCTCCAAAATGTTCTGTGCCCAACAGCCTTGCTGAGTTCTTTTAAACTCAGCCCTGTGGTTCCTTTAGGGAGGCAATCCATCTCATATTTGATCTTTTTTCCTGCTGTCGTCAACCTTACCCCACATTATTGTCTGTTCCAGAGAATTTTGTCTTCTTGTGATGTGTCTAGGGAGGACAGCCTGAGTTTCACAATTTTTACCTCCAGAGAAAAGCACTGCAATATATATGGTTGCAGGAGAGGGGGAATATGAAACTTTTCATGAGTACATAAAATGTTTCCAGCACCCAATCTGGGTTATGCTCATGAGCTATCTCCAAAATGTTCTGTGCCCAACAGCCTTGCTGAGTTCTTTTAAACTCAGCCCTGTGGTTCCTTTAGGGAGGCAATCTATCTCATATTTGATCTTTTTTTCCTGCTGTCGTCAACCTTGCCCCACATTATTGTCTGTTCCAGAGAATTTTGTCTTCTTGTGGTGTGTCTAGGAAGGACAGCCTGAGTTTCTTAATTTTACCTCCAGAAAAAAACATTGAAATATATATAGTTGCAGGAACTGAGCAACATATATATTTACAATAAAATACAGCTCATTCTAGTAATAAACCATCATGGACTAAGGCAAATAATGCATTTGAAACCTACATGTTTAGGTAGAGTGTTGCCTAGAGTCCGTGGTCTTTAACGTTCACCCCATATGCACATGGTTGATTTTTAATTAAATCTGGATTTCTTAAAGTACTCCAGAATTCACTTGCGTCATGTGCAGCCTCTTGGAATATTGATTATTTTGTCTTTGCTCATTTTTGAGACATAACTTATTGCAAACCTGCTTTCTTTCTCTTCTTTAAGGCATACTCATAAACAGACTTTCTGTGATTGATATGCTTCATGTATCACATAGTTTTCTTAACATTCATATCATATTTAAATCTACCATTGGCTGCAGGCCAAGGAAATCTTGATCCATCTCCAGATGAAATTTAAAACCAGTGTTCATTCTCTTTCAGTTTTTAATATTCTCTTGCTCTGCCTCATTAATGTCCTGATAATTAAATCTAATGCCATTGTGACATGCCCCTTGCATGTCCCTGGATTATTTCACTAATCTAAGGCTCATGCCACGTTCCTATTTACGCTGCCATTCAGTTGATCTCTGTCAACATTATTTACTTAGAAAGAGTGAAGTCCATACTGCATGTAACTTGTAACAAAACCAAGCTTATTGAATACAGTTCAAATCTTGAGTTTCACTTAAGTAGATTCCTAAAAGACGTTAAAGCTTTCAGTAGTTTCATTGTAACACTTCACTCTTCTAACACTCTTAGCTGCTTTTCAGCTACCCACTGACTATCTGCCTCTCCTATCTGCTTCACCCCTCCCTTTATAGTCCACTGGCTCCGCCTCCCAACAACTCCTATTGGTGCATGCCGGTACACTCATACATATGCATAGGCAGCGTGATCGCTATATTCCTGCCCCCTTAATAAGTTTGTTTTATGAGGGGGAACTTACCAGTTTCCTCTCATAAACAAACAGCTTCACACATATAAATTTAACAATGTTTTTCCAGTTCTTATAAATAATTTATATTAAATTTTCCTCTCTAATATTATGTTTCTTAATTCAAACTTATCACTTTATGACAATCAGTACAGTTATAAACATTTGCACTTAACATAGAACTTTTCTGACCATTAGGCCTTTGGGACAAAGTGCCCGCAACCACATTCAGAGACTCTTTGACGCTTCTGATCTCAAAATCAAAGTCCTGTAGAATCAGGGCCCATCTGGTGAATTTACTACAGTTTGATTGCATAGTCTTTACCATTTTAAAGGTGAATGATCAGTGCAGAGAATGAACTTTCTTCCCCATATGTAGGGCTTTAGTTTCTGCAGGGTCCAGATAACTGCTAAAATTCTTTCTCAATGGTAGATAAATGTCTTTCACTAGGTTGGAGCTTTTTGCTTACATACATTACCGGTTGTAAACTCCTGCTGCCATCTGACTTGGTAGGAGAATGTCTGGTCTTGATTTGAGAATGATATTG